GCTTCTGCTATGTTCCAAAATTACTTCCTGATATGGTTCTTACCTTCTGATTTTGCTTTGTCTAACATTAGCATAAAATAGAGAATTTGGGGTTTTCAACCCACAAGGCTCCAGATTATTTGATTCTCAACCATCTTGGTTGCAGGTCAGAGGAAGAAAAAAAAGTCGGTATTAACAAAGCTGCATTCTTTTTGCCTCTGCTTCCAGTCAGTTTCCGCCTAAGTTCATCTCTTTCTTGTGGATCCTGCTGAAGGCTGTAGAGCTAGTCAACACACTCCAACATTCTCATTCCCCCCCGACTCCTTTAATGCTACAGCCATTGCACCTTGTAGGGTTAGTCACATTCAACACCCACTTTCAGTACCAATTCCTATATCACTTAAGAATCTTTGTATTGCCAATGACAGAAAAATCTGACCACGTTAGCATAAACAAAATAGAGAATTTATTTGCTAGAGTAAATTAAAAGTCAAGAAATAGGGATACCTTAGGTATAGATGGATTTAACCAACATCAATAGCTGTTTTTTCTCCACCCCAAATCCCCACTTTTTTGGTCTCAGTTTCACACCCCATGTGGTCAAAAGTTGTGTGGCCATTCCAGCCCCTATGTCCTCCCTGATTCAATTCCAGACCCATCCTGTGAGAGGAACCTTCGTCTCTGGCCACAAGTTCCCTTGATTCTGATGAGGTCATAGCCATCACCAAAAACATCTCTGGGACTGAATGAATGCAAGGTCCTGCTCCTGTATCTGGAGTGGGAGTGGATGCCTCTGGCTCCGCGTGGCCTGAGAGTGAGGGAGAGATGATTCTCCAAACAAAAACTCGTCCTCATTGTAAGTGGGGTAAATGGATGCTGAACTGCCAAAACATAAAGAAGTATATTCCAAATTTCTCCCCAAGTAAGATTACTAATTTATATGAACAGAGCATAGACTAGTACAAAACTTGTTTTTAATTTCTCTGTTTTTGAGATTATTTTTAAATGATCTGGTATTGTTTCTTTTTATTGAAATTTTTTTTCTTTATTGATGTTTAGAGAGAGAGGAAGGGAGAGGGAGAGACAGAAACATCGATGAGAGAGAACATCGATTGGCCGCCTCCTGCATGCTCCCCACTGGGGATTTGGCCCACAACCTGGCCATGTGCCCTGACCAGGAATTGAACCTGTGACCTCTTGGTGCATGGGTCAACGCTCAACCACTGGGCCACACCAGCCAGGCTGGTATTGTTTCTTATTCCCCCTGAAAAGCTATAAGTGGGGGGAGGTGCAAGTCTGCTAATGAAGGTGTTGGAATTGAGGGAGTACAGTATTCTAAATCATCTTTTCATTGCGAGAACAAATATCGTACTATAACAGGTAGCCATGGAAACACAACTTGAAAAACTGATTTAAAAAAAAAAAAAAACTGCTCATATTTTATACATTTTGCTGTTGCCCTGATTCAGTCTCTGTTGATTTGGGGTCACCACACGAGGGTTATTGGCTGTGATTGATTCTTTTCTCCTTTTCAAGACTGGTGTTTCCAAGATGTGCTGCTCTTTTATGATCTCTTTGCTCTTGGTTTTTAATTTCTATAGATTAATATGGAGGATTTTTTGCCTGATAGGTCCGAGAGCCTACTGATTCTTGTTTTACTCATTAAGCTCAGGCTGGTCTATGTATTGAGTGGGGATGTGCACAGTTACATTCTCGTTGAAGTCCAAATAGTGATTGTCTTTATTTGCCTTGAGTTCTCAATTCACTTATCTTTGGCCTTTGATTATAAGTCCCACCAGCAGTCAATACAAAACTACCCTCAACTTCTCTCCTCCACATCACAGACCTCTCCCTACCACTCTTTCTTCTGCCTCTTCTTTTACTTATAGAAAAGAATGAAGTGAAACCCTCTTTCTGAACCTAAAATGAAGCTTAAGGCAATAATGACACTGGGCCATGGAGCCTTTAAGTGATGGTGTGGACTTTGATCTCTGAGGTCTGGTTCAACCTTAAGATTCCTTATGTTAAGAAGCTGACGTGCCCTGGCCAGTTTGGCTCAGTGGTTAGAGCGTCGGCCTGCGGTCCGGAGAGACCCGGGTTCGGTTCCCGCTAAGGGCACGTACTTCGGTTGCAGTTTGTCCCCAGCCCTGGTTGGTCGTGCGGGTGGCAGCCACTCGATGTGTCCCTTCACATCGATGTTTCTCTCTCTCCCTTCCTCTCTCTCCCTCCCACTCTATCTGTACAAAAAATGGAAAAATATCCTCGGGTGAGGATAAAAAAAAAAAAGAAGAAGAAGCTGACGCTGATCTGGGAACCCCTCATCACAGAGGAAGGGCAGAAAGCACTCACGGCCTATACCTGTGTATCATCCTTTGCAGAGTGTGACCTCCGAGGCCCCTGTGGTCAGTGATAGGGTTGGAGCTCTCCCCCACCCACATCATTTCTCCTTTACTCCATCTTTTCCTGCCTCATTGCCTTAATCTATTGCCCCCCTTTCTTTTTGATTGGATCATTTGTTTTCAACTTTCTTAACCCATTCTTTTTCTCCCCACTGCCCAATGGCATAAGCTACCTGCACTGCATAAGACTGCCAACCCCTCTAGTGGGCTAAAGGGCTCACCTGTTGCTCTGTAGCATCTTCCTTCTGGAAAAATTTCCATTAACTGAAGTCTTCTCAAGAAGGTTCAAGTTTAGTCTTGGCATTCTTTATTTACTATGCCAGAGAGAGCAATCTTAAGCTCTTAAGAGAATGTCATGTTTTGGTAGAGTTTTTAGGAGTTATTGATTTTTGTTTTATTCAACAAACAATTTTGGGCAGCTACCAGGTGTCAGATGCTGGTCTAGATGCAGAGACGATAGCAGGAAAGAAGGTCCCTGCGCTCATGGAGCTTGAATTCCAGTGGGGAGAGACGTACAAGTAAATAAACCTTGAAATAAATTTAAGAATGTCAAGTGGTGACATGTATTATGCATAAAAGAGAACAGGAGCAGAGATGGGGAATAAATGGGGATATTTTTGCTGAGAACTGAAGAATGAGAAGAAACCAGGTGATAAGCATACCTGGTGAGAAGGCTTGTAAGTGTGAAGCCCCAAGAGGCAAATGAGCTTGGTGCATTTAAGAACAGAAAGGGCTAGAGGATAAATTAGCAAGAGGGAGGTTACTTGATATGAGGTCAGAGGACTAGGGAGGGGCTAGATATTGTGGGTCTTTGCGAGTCTAGGCTGAGAGTTTGGCTTTTAAAGTGAAATGAGGAACTGCCCTGGCCGATTTGGCTCAGAGGTTAGAGCATTGGCCTTAGGACCAAAGAATCGTGGGTTCAATTCTGGTCAAGGGCACATGCCTCCGTTGCGGTTCGATACCCGGCCCTGGTCGGGGTTGTGCAGGAGGCAACCAATCGATGTGTCTCTCGCATCGACGTTTCTCCCCCACCCCCATTTGAAAATCAAAGGAAAAATATCCTCAAGTGATAAAAAAAAAAAAGTGAAATGAGAAGCCATTGGAGAGTTTTAAGCAGGGGAGAAATATCAGCTTTAGGTCTTATGGGGCATGGTAGACACCTCATAATTGTGTCCAAAGTTGATTGTCTTTACAGGTTTTCATTAAAGATGAAATGGACCCAAACTCTAGACAACCACTACTTTCTTGCATGTCTCAGAGGCTCCAGGCTTCTCAGTGACATAGTATGTCACTACCTTCTAATTGAGCTGTCCCTGGTGGATAGGAATAGCCATGAACTGTATTCATACTGAATGTGTATGAACTGTATGCATACTGTGTGTGTGTGTGTTAGGGGTGCTCACTTAGAGAATTAAAAAGAATTCTGAAAATACAGAGAGACATAATCATATTACCCATGTTCTCTTTTTAGACACAACTACAGTTAGACTTCCCCATAGATCCACTGAGGCATTTACTTGGTAGTTGGTCAAGTTTTCTGTTTTCCTGAGCTGGTCGAGGGGGAAGGAGATGACAGCTGCTGGCCTCCACCTCTGTCCAGCCCCACGCCTGCATTTGTTATTCATGTACAGAGTGTCCCTTGGGCTCCAGACCCTGTGTTAGGCAGGAGGGACACAGCCATGCCGTCAAGAGGCTCCAGGCAAAGTAGAGGACTCTCGGGCACTAATCCTGTAATGCTCTGTGTCCAGGAATTCTTCCATGGTCTGGCATCATGATAACTCTGCTCGTGCAGCTAGACTCATATCTCAAAGAATTGAGAGTCTGAAAGAACCTTAGACGTCAATTATCCCAGTATTCCTCTGTAGAAACACTTCCGATATTTTGAGTAAGACTGTCCTAAGCATCACGGGAAATTACAAGCATTTTCAGATTATTTAAACATACTCAAGGAGTTGGTATAATAGTTCTATTTATATTCCATTGCCCATCTACCTCTTAGGGTCCTTCAATGAGATATCTAGCTTTCCTTCTGCATTCATGATCTCTGTGCTTTTGTCCAGCATCCCTAGGAGAGTTATTGTTACCCCACTAAACGTGAAGAACAGAAATATAACATTTTGGCATAGAAAGTTCTGGATCTTCCTATGACCCGAGCTGTACCAAAATCACATTTCAAAACTCATTTGCTTTCATTACACCTGGCCAGCTCTCTTCACCTGCATCTGTGACTTCCCCCTTACAGACTTGAATGCTCTGGAGATGAGGAAGAACCATGTATCCTAACTATCCGTGTCTTCAAAGCTTTTAGTTCTTGAGTAACTCTTTTCCTGAAGACTAAATGGTCTAGTTCATATTGAGAGTGATACTTTCTAGTGGAATTTCCCTGAAGGAATCTCAGGTTCCATGAACAACTGTTTCTGTGGAGGCACCTAGAGCAAAGCTGGGCAATGAGCTGGATAGGGGTTCTGATCTCCTCCACCAAACAGGTGTGTAACACCTTGTGGCAAGGAGAAACATTGAGTTTTTTTTAGTTTAGGTGTTCTTTGTATTTTTTTGTTTATTTTTTATTTTATTTTTTTGCTTGCTTCTTAAGCAAAACCAATCTAGTTTCTTTTTCTGCAGCAAAGGAGGAAGGAACAAACAGCAAATTAATCATACAGGAAGCGAATAACCGCAGAAGAACGTCTGCTTCTGACTCAGTATGTCACATTTAACAAGAGGCTAGAGCTTGTCCAAAATGGCTGTCCAAAAACGACCCCACATTTGTGTTAGAAGATGATGCCTTTTTCAGGACAGTCTTCTCTCTGGGCTCGTGTCTCGCTTGCTCTCTGTCGGCCTGTGTCCCCGATCATGCCTTCCTACGGCATCCTTTAACGGTAAGAAAAATTCTATTTAAACCAAATATAGTTTCTTTATCAGCTAGAGGGAAGAACTAAATGGCATTTAATGGGCCATAGTATGTCGAGATAAAGTTTCATTTCTCAGGTAGAAGATCATGTGGTCTATTCCTGGTGCACTGAATGCCACTATGGTCATTGCCAGTAATTGGTAACTTGTGTTTGGAGCCAAAATGTAAGCAAGATTATCAGTAGCATTGTTCCTGATCACTGGACCATTTGGATCCACAGGACTTGCCCCTGTTTAAAATGGGGGATTATGTTGGTCAAGAGTGTAACCTTACGGTGTATGGTGCGGTTGTCCACACAGTTGCCTTTGAACTGTTTTCATGCTTTGACCAGCAGCAGCAAATGCTTTTCAAGTAAAGGGGGTCACTGGAGGCTACAAGATATAGACTTGTTACTTAAGTTCAAATGCTAAACTAAACCATTTCTAAGCAGTCTTTCAAGAAGACAATTTCTCTTTAGATCATTCTATTCAACATCCTAACAGTGCAATGCACAACCACGACTGCTAATCAAATTCTGTAGATTCAGTATAACTATTTACATTTAATATGATTAATATTTTGGCATAAAATATTGTAGTTTTAAAATTTCAAGTCATGTGCCCAGAGACCCACAGAGCAGGATTAAGGAAATTGCTTTTGTATTAAATTTTTTTTTCTCTGGGGCACATATAAAAAAGCAACTTGACATTTATATTCCTACCTGTCCCCTCATGAAGAAATAGAAAATAAAGCTTTAAAATTTTAAGAGGGCACATGCCAATTTAGTCAATAAGTACAAGTTCTTTAAAATAATTCAGTGGCATAACTAGGCTATACAGTTGGAAATGGAGAAGCCATACAATGACAAAAAGGCTGCAGGAAGATTCTAATTAAGAAACATAGAACAGCTGGATAGAAAGAGAAGCCGATGAGAAGCCTGGGAAAGGTTTTGAGGTCAATTCATGTGGAAAATACCTTTACTATTCACTTGGATTGGGGGTCTTAAGTATTATACGTTAACTTCATAAAGTTATGTTGCTTCTGAACTGAAACAGCATCTAGTTAAAACTCTTCCTTTTGTAGTCCAAAGAGATTTAAATGATTTACTTAAAATCACAGTCAGTTTATCTAATGCTCTTTGAAAAGTTCATTCATGGGTCAACTGTTCACAGCTTTTCAATTACTGTAGTATCTAAACTTTTAAAGGATTACACACACTGTGAATGAATTGCAGTATTAGAGAAATCCCTACGCTGAAAATCATCCCTGGGGTCCAGCAGCAGTTTCACCCCGATCATTGATTATATCAAACTCAAATCTTGCCTATAGGTTGGTCTATGCTAAAATGTAAGAGGAAATGAGCTACTGAATTCCTGGACCTTCTAAGTTTTATGCCCTTTTGAAGGCTTGCTTACACGTCATTTACTTTGGAAGTTTCTGGTTTACTCATTTTTGTTTTACCAAGTTTTCATACATTCTGGTTGGAAAGAGCCCTTCCCTTTCCTGTCATAAATACCTCAGTATTTTGCAACCCTCACTTCTGAAAATTAAAACTGAAAAAAATACTAGAATGAAAAATGCCTCAATTAGTATGCTTTTCTGAGACATTTTAAATGCACTTTATACACACCTCTCGTCACCATTTATTTGAAATGCAGACATTTACTGGGGTGTGGACATATGGAGTAAGGTTTAAATCAACTTGTGTTTTCTCTTTTTCGTTGTAAAATAAGGAGGAAGATGGTAACGTTTATTGAGCCCTTACTTTGTGTTAGGCTCTTTACTTTTGCTTATTTTATTTTTAAAATCAGCTAAAGTTATTAAGCACTTGCCTCACTTAATAACTCTGTTTAATAGGTACCATTTTCTCATTTTATTGTGGGAACTGAACTGAGGCTAAGTAATTGCCCAAGGCCACCTAACAGCTAAATGTGGAGGAGGTGTTTTGAAATTTCAAGAGCTTTTTTCCTAAATGCAGTTTAGGGACAAGGAGATGACCTTTTCCAGTCCTGGGAGTTAGGGATTATACAAATGCTTTGTTTTAAATGTCACAGCAACAGTAAATAGCTTTAAAACGAATAAGACATTTTCCTTTCTAAATCTTTTTGACCTTTGAAGAAGTAACTTTGGTAACGCTTCTAACTTATATAAGAAGGCTTCACTTAAATATATATATGTATATTTAAAAAGAAACATCATCAAGAAAACAAAGGCTCCACTTTCAACAATAAAATGCATCAAGTGTGTTGACATATATGTAGTGTGTGAGTGTGTGTAATGCATGCATGTATGTGTGGGTGAATGCATGTGTGTGTGTGGTACATGAGTTTGTGTGTAAGTGCATGCATGTGTGTGAATGTGTGCATGAGTGTGTGTGTGTATGTGTATGTGTATGCAGTGGACAGGGATAGATCTTAATTCCATGATAAAACTAAATGTGGTGCTGAGGATTTAGGAGAACTTTAGCTTCGAGATATGAGCCCCTTAAAGAGAATACTTGGCAGAGATGGAAAGTAGTGGGAGAAAATCAATACTTTTTAGTTATGTGGATAAAGTAGAAAAGGGTTTCCCTTCCCTTTCTCACAGTTAAACAATAGCAGGTAGGTGGATCATTCAACTTACCTTCATTTTCTCACTTTTGAAAAGGTTTGATGTCTATGAATTTCCATTAGTTTATATGACAGCAGGTTAAAAAAATATTTTTACTTCCTAACAACCTTTATTTCTCTAGCAGTTGCTTTTACAGTAAAATTGTGAGTTGGTGTTGTATTAATTGTAATGACATTGTAGATGTTTCAAAGTGTCTTCTCTGAAAAATGCTTTTTCCACCTCCCAAAATTAATCAACTCTTTATCCAAATGAATTCTAAACAAAATATTTCTAAAATAGCCAAGCACCCTCTAAGTACAGCAGAGACACAAACCCTTACCATTGTGCCTAGAAGCAGAATTAACTTAAGCTGTCATCTTAAATCATGTTCAACCGGGAAAGGAGCAAGTACATTTTGAGAAATGAGGGGTTCCGTGTACAAGAAAGCTTGTGTTCCACATTCAGCTCAGCCCGAGAATAGCAGCAATAACAAATTAGGCGAGGCTGTTGCTTGGCTTATTATGAAGACTCGCGCTTCTCTTCTCTACCTTTGCTTCCTCTTAGGTTGAGCAGCCTTTTCTCTTTCCTCTAGTATTGATTGCCTCATTGCCTGCAGCCCTCTGAGCTTAGGCCCAAGAAGAGGAAGAGTAACAATAATAGAAACACACTTTATGCAAAGATGTTAAATTTTCTAAAATGGCCAAAGGACATGCTAGGGTGGTGGTGGTGAGGGTTGAGGCACAGAGGTGTTGCACTGTGACTGGTGTCATAAAATAGAAACTATAGGCGAATGCAGCTGTAAAAAGGTTGTGCTAAAGAAACAGGATGGCTGTGGTTTGCTGTGAGCATCAATTTTCCTGTTGAGCATTTTTACAGGAAGTTGAAGAACAAAGCCAACTTCATCTTAATTTGTACTGATGGTATTCAAATCTTAAACACACCCCACTAAGTTTGCATGATGGAGGAGCCTCTAAAGAACAGATTTAAGAATAATTAAGTGGGAATCCCAGCACTATGGGCTTTTTAAAATTCAGGATTTTAGCAGCAATTTGAGTTGGCTAAATGACTTTATTTTTCCGGTGTAACTTGGAGTGGATTCATTGCCTTTATAATGAATGCCTCTGGAATCTTTCTTTATGGTTGTAATAAGTCAATATAAATTTAAGAGCCTTTTCTTATTAAAACATACATAATACATATTAAGTTATATGTATTATAAATTTCCTTCTGTTAGTATTTATTGGTTAAACAATTAGGTGTATATATAAATAGGTGTGTGTGTGTGTATGTGTGTGTATGTCTGTGTATTTATAAGCTAGAAGGATATACATCAAAACATTAACAAGAATTATCTGGGCATCATTAACCCCAAACCTTTTCACCTAAAATTTAATTATTGTTGAATGCTTCCTTCAGTGGTTAAATACCACTGTTGTGTTTTATTTTCATCATTGTGTAATTTTTTTGTCTGTTGTTTTCTAAATGAATAAATGCTACTTTTGGAAGCAAAAAAAAAAAAAATTCAACCGGAAGAAGCCAAGAGCATGTGAAAAATACATACATTAAAATAATTTAAGAACATTACATATAAAGTAAAATGTATGAATATAAATACAAATAAGGTATAGAATAAAAAGTAATGAGGGCAGGAGAGCATTTGGACCTTGGATTTGTCCAGTTGCATTATTTCTATTATAGCTATCCTCCCAACCAAATTCATATTCAATTGATTCATCTTTTTTGAAAAAAAGTTTAATTTTCTCCCATTTGTAGGATAGTATTTAATGGTGACTTTTGGCATGATTCATATGGCAAAATGCTTTATATTTTTGAATACCCTAGTCCAAAACGGTGATAAAACCTAACTGGATAAGCCTGCTTCTTATCATCTCTAATAGAACATGGCTGATTCAGCAGGGGCCCTCCCGACCCCCAACACACACTCAGGAATAGGGGAAACCTTCTGAGGATTAGCAGATGTTTTCACTGGACAGTATTGGAAATCTCTCCGTTCTTCATGTCATTCTGTGGTATGGGCCTCACTCAGCATGATCTAAAATGAATTCGCAGTTGGCTCTAAGAAACTAAGAAACAGTTTACTTAAATAACCAGGTAGTTCTCTTGATCCTAAGAAGGTGGATCATTTTACACTCAGAAATAATTCTGCTTTCTTATATGAGCACATTGAGCAAGAAACCAAAGTTTCCTGGACTGAACTGTAGGCTGTGGTGCAGCCTCTAACTGGCCATGCCTTTGGGGAGAATATGTCTGTTACTGAGGAGTCCCCCTCACAAGTTTTCCTCATAACCAATATTACATATTTGGAATGGCTCTGAGCCAGGGGATGCTCTGGTTGGTCTAGGGTCAATATGTGATGCTGTCTAGTGTGAGTGTTAATCC